GATGCTTGTTTATTTGCATTTTCTGTAGAAACACAAAAAAATTGGCAGAATGGAGCACGGTTTGATAGTGGAGCACGAAATTACAGCGTTGTTTTCTGACGCCCGCTACGTGAACCCGACTGACTCATTCTACGCCACGAAGCCCTACTCCCCTTAGCGTCCCTGCCGCAGCATGTTCATTTTTTTGTCCATTTTTGTTCATTTACGACTTTCTTGTATTTAGTGTGAACATGGCGGAAAAAAGCAGTACTAGACTGAATATTCAACTAATGGCATTCCTTTTCTAGATGGCATTCTTAAGTTGTACACTTTTTCTCTTGTCTATCCTCTATCTTCCTGAAGGTCTGCTTTCGCTACAAACATACTTCATATTCCTTCGTCTAAACACTGTCTGTTCACATGGGTGATTAGTGCCCGATGTTTGATACTCTTATGTGGATTAAATGCTCTATAGCCATCAACCAATGATGTGGTCAAACTGTTCAGGAAAGGAGGTAATGTCCTTGATTGCAATGGAAGACTACATTCGACACTCTGAAAGAAATGGAATGACTGATTATTGGGAGCGTGATTGGAAAGCATGATTCGCATTCTCCTGGCATAACTATTTGGATCATCCCCTCATACCAATAGTTAACTACGGATCCGATGTATAATAAAAGCAAAGTTTGCTCAGACCGTCATCCAACTGTGCACTGATGTGGAGAACTCATACTCCAGTACAGTAATTCGGCTTATTCAGAATTTGGGGATATCCTCATGTTAATACTGCTGCAGGAGTAGAGCGAGTAAAGGACTGGCAGTTAAGTAAAATAAACCTAGATCTAGCGTGGAAAATCAGATATATAGCTCAGGAACAAATCTACATGGATACTTCAAAAGAAATATCCTTTTGGTATGCTTATGACAAGGCCTAAATCAAAAGCTCTCTGCAGTAGTCTGTGCGGTAGAATACAATATTACTTGGAACTTTCTAATCCTAATTATGACTCGCGATTGGCAATATATGATACCTCAGAAAACATTCGAGCTCTAGACAGTCTAGACACATTTGACTTACTGCAGGACAAGGCTTGCTCAGCAAGAGCTGACAAAGTTGCTCGTTTAATAAAATCCAATTGCTTACTGTTGCCAAATCGCGCCATACTCTGTTACATACCTTCAAGAGAAAGACATATTGTAAGACACGGCTTAAAAAGTACCGAAATGGTTTCAATCACAACGAACTCACTGACATGACCCCAAAAGAGCGGGAATTGAAAACCAGTCCAAAAATATTTTTACATTAATGACACTACTAGTGAGAACAAATTTCACCGCCACAGAACCTATCAGCGACAGATATACTTCGTTTCTTCCCCGAGACTGCCACGGGCTCAGGCACAATGGAGCCTAAATCAATGCTGTCATAGGTCATCGGAATCAACAGAAATCGACAATAAAGAGCTATGCATGACAGTAGCTGTAGAGTTCGACTTCGAAAGACGAAACTTGAAGGACCAGCAAGAAGGACTGCAACCCTTTTTCTATCATTTGATCAACTTTGTGGTTTCGATCGGGTGTAGCAAGTTCATGAGGCTCAAAATCATCCACATAACATGTCACTGATCAGTACCTCCTCCCTGATGCAGAGTGCCTTGAAGCGGGACGAACATGGCGATATGTACATATCGATCATAGACATCCTGGGCGACATAGAAGGACGACAGAAAGGCTGGACATTAGGAACAATTTGTTTGACCAAGTATGTTGAAAGAACTGTTTGGAATTGCTACAAGATTGGGCAAGGGGACAGCCAGGTATCGATCTTGGAGTACATGATAGTAAGATACCTAACAGCGTTTTCAAATCAAGACAGTTACTTCAAATGTAAGGCTCTCAGCCATCTTCGAAAATTTTTAGATAAGTTGA